TAAACCCATGATTTGTGTGCATCATAACTCAAATAGACAATTACGCCTTCTTACTCATCTATCTTTTTGTTTTAACGGAGGATAAAGTATTCTGTTTAAAGCGAAAAAACAAACATATTACCGTACTTTGAAAAGGCAGTCCTTTGTACATTTTCTCTAAACGACAGCAAATCATATACCGTTTGTGCTTGAACTAGAATATGGCCCCCAAATGCTCTGGTATGGCCGAGAGAGCGATGGGCTCGCCCTTCCTCTCGAAATACTCTCACAAGGCCCCGAGTGTACAGCTTCTGCCAGGGAAGTCCTACTCACTGCCTTCTCGTGGCGGGGGTGTTGTTTACGAAATTGAGAGGACGAAAAGCGAATGTCCGGTGCTTTAACAGAGTTGGTGGACACTAAGGATCCAGTTAGAGGAGTTGGAAGTCCCTGACTCCAAACCAATAGTGCACATGGGCTCGAGTATCCTGAGGGAACAAATGGCGTATGAACCAACTGTCGGTCACCGGCTACCATGGGGTTGAATCTCCTCACGATGCTCCACTGCCTTGTGGATCAGACCTTTAGGTCGAAGGCTCCGAGTGTGGCGCCCTAGGAATACCACCTGCTTCAGTTTGAGCACCCGGGCAGTATCACAGCCCACACACAAATGATGAACTGTCTATATTGACGGAAACTACTTTTCTTCTTTCGACTAACAATCAAATGATTCAAATCATTATTATTATTATTATTATTATTATTATTATTTACTACGTCATTATTCACCCTCTTTTATTCCTACTCTGTCGATACTATTTTTTTCGACTTATACAGCAGCTCGCCTATGGTGGAATCCCCGTTCTATCCAGTCACTGACTGGTCGAAAATTGAATGGCACCACCGAATACGAATACTGAAGCAGATTTTATGAAACCACGTGCACCATTCAAACTGGCTTCCTCCAACGTTCGCACACTTATGCAGGTCGAACAACAGATAGGACTGGCTGTGTTTTGGGAAAGTCTTAATATCAACGTCTGATGTCTAACCGAGATTCGTATTCAAGACTCTGGTGAAGTACTACAAATTCGCTCTCGATCTGTTGCTTCAAAAAGCTTGTTTTAAGTGCGTTTATCCCGGGACCCTGTGGCATCTTCGTCTGGTCTTGCTGGCGTTGGTGTCGCACTAAGCGCTAGAGCTGAGGCAGCACTAATCGATTGGATCCCCATTAACAGTCGGTTATGTGCTGTTAGATTAGAGAGTTCCATCAAAGTGAGAAATCGGCGTGAGAAACGATGTCTTTTCGTCATCTCCACTTATGCCCCGAAGCAATCAAGGATGAGTTTTACCACCAGTTATCTGTTCTTCTCCAGAAAGTGCGTTCGACAGATATTGTAGTACTAGCCGGAGACTTGAATGCTCAGGTCGGGCGTCTAGGCACAGAAGAGAGTCGTTTAGGTGGCCGATGGGGACTTGTTGGTCGCAGGTCAGATAACGGGGACCGTCTACTGCAACTGTGCACAGACCACAACCTGTTTCTGGCTAGCACTAACTTTCGGCACAGTCATCGCCGATGTGCCACCTGGCGTCCTCCCTCTGCATCTCAAGCCTGGACTCAGATTGATCACATCGCGATCAGCTACCGCTGGCGTGGTTGTGTACAAGACTGCCGCTCCTTTTGGAGTACCTATCTGGACTCTGACCATGCCTTGGTCTGCGCCAATCTTGCCTTACTTTTCAGTGGACAACGAAGTGACCGCCATCAACGGATTGATGTTAGCAAGCTGGTTGCAACTTCTGTTGCAAGTAAGTATCGAACCGAGCTAGCCTCTAGGCTAGCTACCACTCCACCGAAAAGTATAGATGAGCATTGGTTGCAATTGCATGACGCCATGAAAATGGCGGGAACAGTCAGTTGTGGGTTTGCGAAACGTCCCGCTTTTAAGCACTGGGTTTCTTCTGGTTCCTTACAACTCATTGAAGCCCGTCGGTCTACTCCGGGTGACCGTGAGTTTGACCATAAACGAAGGATGTTACGTAAGGAAATTGGGCAAAGCTTGCGTAAGGACCGAGAAGCCTGGTGGTCGAGCGTGCTAATGAGCTGGAAGCAGCAGCTGCATCTGGTAACTACCGGAAGCTCTTCCAACTCATCCGAGCCACTGGCAGCAAGAAGTCTGGTGTGAGTGAAACAATCTGCGAGGATGATGGGATGCCAATCACTAACATCCATCGACGTCTTGGACGATGGGCAGAATTTTTCGAAGGGCAGTTCAACTGGCCTGCTGCTCCGGCAACATCGGTCAGACTGTCCTGCCCTCCATGGCCGGTGACGACTGATCCACCAAATGAGGAGGAAGTCCGCAAGGAACTCCAACTCTTGAAGCGTTACAAATCACCTGGCCCAGATGACTTACCTCCGGCTCTTTTTAAAGATGGTGGTGACTTTTTGATTAAGGAATTGACGACGTTGTTTACAAAGGTTTGGGAACTAGAGAGTGTACCAACGTCATGGAATGAGTCGATAGTTGTCCCTATCTTTAAAAAGGGTTCACGTCGTTCTGTAACAACTATCGGGGGATAAGTCTACTTCCGATTGCGTCCAAGCTATTGGCTTCCGTCATACTTCGTAGGTTGTTCAAAACCCGAGAAAGATTGACTCGCGAGGAGCAGGCTGGGTTTCGTTCTGGTCGAGGATGTATTGATCATATCTTCACCCTCCGCCAAATGTTAGAACACCGCCATACTTATCAAAGGCCAACAATCGTAGTGTTTCTTGACATCAGGGCTGCCTTCGATTCGTTGGATAGGACTGTTCTCTGGGATTGTCTATTGAAGAAGGGTGTGCCTGAGAAGTTTATTAACATCCTAAAAGCCCTATATAAAACACCTCAGGCAGAGTGAGGGCATACAACCACCTCTCTCCATTGTTCCATTCGAGCAGTGGGGTTAGGCAGGGTTGCCCAATCTCACCATTCCTCTTCAACTTTGCCATCGATGACATTCTGGAAACAGCTCTGATGAATGTAAGTAATGGTGGTGTGGATCTGTTGCCTGGAGAAAGACTTCTCGACCTTGAGTATGCGGACGATATTGTCTTACTGTGCGATAATGCCCAAGGCATGCAATCCGCACTTAATCAGTTGGCAATCAGTGTCCGTAGGTATGGTATGTGCTTTGCACCTTCGAAGTGCAAAGTACTTCTACAAGACTGGCAGGATTCTAATCCTGTACTCACCCTGGATGGTGAGCAGATAGGTAGTCGAGAAGTTCGTGTATCTGGGTAGCTGCATAAGTGCTGGTGGTGGTGTGAGTGATGAGATCAATGCACGTATAGTGATAGCCAGAGCGGTGCATATATATTTGGCGCACTCTTGTACAAATATTTATGTGTATATATAAATAAATAAATATACATTCCAAGTCTAGGTAGTTTTAACATAAAAACAATAAGCCACAAAATTGACAAGTATGCACCAATTAAGAAATGAAAATCCCTGCATATACTTGTATATATAGATAACTCTCATAGCTGTTTAGGTGTTTTATTTAACTGTGTACGCTTACGCCCACATTAATAACAAATCGATGGTGTGAATATGAATTGGATATGAATGTTACAAATTAGTAAAACAAAACAATCACGCACATAATTGTCTGAGCCTAAAGGAAACATTGTTTAAGCCATCGGATTCACCGAAACAACAATGTCTCAAATTTAGTTTAGATAAATTCGAATAATTGGTGAGACCTTTGAACGTTTTAACAATGGGACATATATTAAAATGTCTCGGTACTACTGTAGTTACAGTGGGACAATAACTTGAGTTTTTAAATTTCATCCACAGTTAAATTACTGAAGAATGCCGAGTATGTTTATTTTTATTGTAAAGAAAGGCATATTTTTAATGTTTAAAACTTATTCAAAGTGAAATTCACTAAAAACCAAAGCACTTTCGAAACATGCGTCTTATTAATAGGCTATCCCCTACTTCTTTGAAATCGAGGTACGATATAACATAACTATGGCAATAAAAATAACAATTTGTTACCGAATGTGAATCATAGTATCTGGTGAAAGTAAACACCTGATTGGACGTCTAGAAAACCCCTTTTTAAATTGGTCGTAGGGCAGAGGTATAGAAAGGCGAATCAAACTATATTGCACAGACACTGTTTTGTATCTTTCTTTGCTGCGGGAACTATTATAGCAGCCCATGTGCAATTGAATTTGTTCATACTTCATTTACTTAAGCCCATTTGTTAATTTATTTAACGGACAGGGTCATTCGTACAATAACAACTTATCTATACCATTGTACCTTTGTTATTGTAGCACTTGTATGAATATGCATGCTTGAGCTTAACTGATTCGATGGTTCATTCATTTCATTATGTTATATATATATATATATGTACATTTTAATCCCGTTTACTCACTCGCTTGCCCGCTTACTTTTCGGTACTACTCTTTTATGCTTGCTTAGCGTACCTGTAATTTTGGTGATCTGTACGTGGTGCAATAATAAACTTACTCAACACTTCGTATTCACCTTCTGATTAATATACAGTTGGGGCGTTATCTAGTGACGGTTATCAGGACGAACTGTATACGAAGTTTAAGGATTATATTGAATACTAACCACAACAACACATAAGTTATTTAAAACAGACGAATATTTCATTAGCAGTGAAACCTAGAAGGCATGTCTTACTTTATTTAGGACTCTTCATCGAGATACACATTTAGAGTCGAATTTAGTACCTTTTAAATTGTAATGAGCAATCCACTACCCTAAGTTTAGATAGCTACCAGTTTTATTAGGAAGGTATAATGTTGCATAATATTTTTAATAAAGGGTTTAATTATTCTGTTCAGGATGGATTAAAATCCGGTTAAGAATATTAACGATAGTAGAATTCGAATTCTTACTGCTGCGACTAGTAAATCGTATACATTAGTTTTAATTTCTGAAACATATTGAAAAAAAGCAAACATTTTTTTAAAAAAAGGGGTCATTCACCTCGTCATCCATTACAAGGTTTAAATCCTTTTTAAAATCCATTTGTTTTGGTGTATTTCTTAGAGTAGTATAGTAAACCGCAGATGTTAATGCTGATTCTTTTGGTACTACTGAATTTACACAATTAAAAAGTGCCAAATTAATAACTTGTAAATGTTGATCAAACTGATGATCATTGACATCGACAGATAACAATTTAGTATCATCTTTTCGCCGAATATTAGTTAGTAGTTTAATGCTTTGTAATAAAAGTTCTGAAATACTCAAAGGTAATTTCGAATTACCATCAACTAGATTGTATCTCATATCTTGGAAGGTAACAATTTGATCGCAGATTCTCACAAGCGAATCACTTAACGGAACTGATTGACGTGTTAAACGTGAATACCCATCGCATACTGACTAAATGAATAAAAATGTAAATATGAAAATGATAATAATAATAATGTCGACATCTGATGTAATGCGACACTACTTTATTTCAAATGAAGATTACAATTTAAAAAGGTGTTAAGTCTAAATTTTCTTTAAAACAAAACTATACAATACCGTTTGTAATTAGAACTGATCGGGTTCCATCTTCCCAAAAGCCTTTATTTTAATACCTCATTTCACATTTTGGGATTAATAAGATTACATTACTTTAAAAGCATGAAATTTTCTATCAGTATATAATAGCGAGTATTATGATCCAACGGGATTAACAAATTGATAAACTATGTCAATGAAACATCAGCCAAACGATAGGTTCATGCTATTGACCCATATTTGGCTTTCTATTCTCATAAATGAGACATGCACTATTGAATATGTGGCTTCGATCTCTAAAGGATATATATATATATATATATATATATATATATATATATATATATATATCGTAATTCGGTTTAGCCAATAAAACTGCATTCCCACTCTCGGTGTTCTCATTTCAATAACCAGTTGAACTAGTATATCAGTGTCGAAATCGGATAGTGAACTACACTACATAGATTACACAATACTTAGTCATATCAAATAGTCCTTCGCAGTGATCAAGAATTAAAATGAAGCAGAGAGAAAATCCAATATGGTATACTATTGGGGTACATTAAAAATTATACATTATACCATTGCGATATATGCACAAATCCACTAAGATCATCAGAAGGAATTTTTATGAATAAATTGGAAGTAAGTATAAACAAAGCAACACTTACAAATGGCACAAAAACTGGCATTAAATGTGGTGGAACTGCTATTGTTGTCGTTCTACCTTCATTAATGGAATTACGTAGAATTTCCTCTTCAATTTCATCATATTCATAGTAATTAGTATTCTTGTTATTATTCATTTGTTCAGACGTGACAGTATCACTTCCAGATACTACTAATACTAATTCTGATGATGAGGACTGTCCGTCTTCCTGTTTTTTGATAAGTGTCAACGAATTCGGTAAATTAACAGGTAGTTCCCATAGAATAACATTGAGCTAGATAAATATTTTGCAAAAAACATTTAACGTAGAACATGATAAAGGCATTAAAAGCAGATGTATAAAACAAAGTATTACACCAACCAGACTAATGTATTATTTTGCATATATGTTAATATATTAATTCTAGTTAATTTACAAATAATATGGTTTATTGAGAAATAGGAGGACGATTGCATCACGTGTCAAAGGAAGTTGTTTAATAGTTGAAAGTCGAATAAAAGATAATGAGATGAAGCCAACTGGGCCAAGGATAATTGTTCACTTGACGAATATCAGAATTAAAAAGTGTAAACATTTCGAAAGTAAAAAAGTGATAGAAACGAACGATAAAAACTACGAAGATTGAAAACATTATAAGAATGTAATAAAGTCAAATTATCATATACGAAAATTAAGCGTTATAGCCATGGAAGAATAATGGCTTTTATGTCTCTTTTGCACACAGAGTTTAGGTTTTGAAAAAGGTGGATTGCTAGTCTCCACAGTGCGTAAGATATTAATTTGCGATTTTTTCGAAACAAATCGTAGGAATGTATAAATGATTTTAAAGAGCTTATTAGATGTGGTCATTTAACTAGAGCTCACAACATGTTCCAATATTAAACTGTTAATTGATATACATTTACCATCTGAAAGCCATGAAGGAGAATGTTAAGAGATGAGTTTGAAAGCGTTCGATTGTATGGGCAATGTAATTCACCACACGAAAAAAAGTGAATCTATAAATACTTATTTATGTGGCCCAATGTGGGAGTCTGTTCTTCACACGTACAAAAATGATGTGGCTGGAAAGGAGGATGAGAAGCTTGACGGCATAAAAATTATCCCGACGAATTACGTTAGACAGTTCTTCAAAGTTTCATAAGCAGGATCTCTTTTAAACTTTGTGCTGATGAAGAGAGTTTTCCCAGGTCTTGGAGATTGTAACTGATGTTTCATTTCTCGTTCAACAAACCTGGATGGATAACCGTTTCTGAAGAAAATCTGTTGAAGGTTGGATAGTTTCCTCGTAAATCGTGTCTTTCGAGAATATTCATCTAGGCGTTGATGATAAATAATGAAATAATTTCTTTTCTCTTTAATGTGACCCAGCTATGAAAATTCGTATATCGTCGATCCCAAGTGGATTATAGGTAATATAAACCTTTGTAACGTACCATTGTCTTTTATTTATTAAGACACCGAAGAAATTTAATTTTGAATTCGATTCTGATTTCAATGTAAATTTGATGAATCGATGACAATTGTTGAACTTGTCGAGGGTGATATTAAGTTCACTGTTTTAATCATAAATAATAAAAATGTCATACATATATCTGTTGTGTAAGTGAAAGCCGTCAATCGTCTCTTGAAGTACTCTGTTCATAAGATTGGTTGTGAAAACATCCGTTAGAAGAGAAGCGAATGGTGAACTCAAAGTGATGTCATCAGTTCGTATGTGAAGCTCATTATTATATCTAAACTGTACACTGAAGGTGCACCATAGGAATAACTCCTTTTGGTAGTGTTTGGGAACCTTCCTCGGCTTAACTAACTAACCCATCGATAGAAAATATAAACAAACAATAAAACTTAACAGTTTTGCCATCACGCTGATGAAACAATTACAATGAAGCCACGTATATCGTGCAAACGTGTATCCAAGAAATATTAGTTATTTTTTAAAGCTGGTCACAACTCAGTCGTCTTGATCATGTAATATGCATCATGATTAATAGCTAAACCAATAAGTCTAACCATTCTATCACAAAACTAATCAGAATCACTAAGACTAGTCACCAGTTCAGTTAGAGTTTCATCTATTTTATTTCTGGTGCGGTTATCACAGTTTGCTCAATGAATTTACATTACGGAAGGGTTGCGTACAATGGATAATACATCTTGAATATTAATGAGATTCATTATAGTCAAAGACAGGGAAATTAAGAAGCTCAAAACCTAAGGGACCATCCGCTATTTAATTATCTAACATTTATAGAGACGATTCAGTTATTACATAAACGTGTTAGGCGTTTCCACCTGCTATGTGTAAAAAATCTAAAGGTTCCATTTGCTGTAAAAACGGTCAAAGCATTGTCTGATACCATACAATCGAAAATTGACTAAAATGAGAAGAAAACTAACTCCTAAACATAGGTTATTTAAGTTGTAGGTCAGCTGTCTATATTTTTTATTCTCCAGAGCATGAATAAACACCGTAATAACAGGTAAGTGGCTAATAACTCGTATGATTTCAACATTATCTGGCTAAAACAGTGCTCATAAGAGAGCGGGTTATTTAAATATTTGTTATGACACAGTTCATTTTTTTCAAAGAACAACCTTAGTGATATTTTACTAACAAAACATTTATTTAATAACATTCAGTGTTAACTGATTAACTGTTTTCAATTCTAGTTTGCTAACAATGTTATATGGCCTACGGTCATTGTATGTTACCGCCTAAACGGAGTTGTTCCTATTCAGTTTCTGACTTCTGTTCGGAATATAAAGTTATCCTGAAAGTCTCACCTTCTCTATGTCGCATTACCATGTGAAATATTGATGTGGTTAGTGTTTCCAGTTTATTCGACCTTTTATTTATAGCGTCGTATTAGAAGAATCGCTTATCATTTGTAAATAGAAGTTACCATAGGTCAACCGTAAACCCCAATACCTTAACGGTTATCTTCGATATGTAACAAACAATACTCGAGGATTTTGGAAAAGTTTGAAAATCAACGTACAATATTATCTGGAAGATGGGTATAGAGTAGACGTGTACCTCATAATAAAGAACGAACGTGTATCTTGTCAACATTTTAATGTATCACTCTCTTTTATAAACTGACAACATACAGTATAAAGCAGTTGAAAAGACGAAACGATGCTGGTTGATCCTTGATCATGTTCCGATTGTGTATACATCTGATGCAAGGAAACATTTGATCGATAGATTGCCATCAGCACTAGGATGTGAGTTATCGATTCTCCAAAGATCATCATCTAGGTTCAACTAGGCTGGCTTCTGGCCAACCTACTTCCATCTTGTAAACTTATATAAAGTAAATACTTTTAAAAAAGTCACCTACGCACCATTATTTGATTTCCAGTATCATTATTCTTTGTTTTCCAATGGTAATTTATAATAACGGCTGGTACTAACCAAAGAGACTGGTTTACTATTAACTGGAGTAATATTAAACGACCGGGACAAAAAATTTGCTGTAAACGTTGCGCATATTTTACATCAAGTGTAGAAATAATTGAATTTGTTAGTAGACGATATTTGTGACACAACTGTGTAACAAAATAAAACATTTGGACAGTGTATACACACTCATCATACAACATTGAAAACATATATATGTACACATGTAATGAACAATAAATCTTGTGAAAACGTAAACCAACTAAGAAAACTACTACTGTCTATCAAAACAAAAGCCTGAATTATTCTACTAATCCAAAGTAAAACATTAGAACATACTTGGCAAAACATAACAGTCTACAAAAAGTCAAAATTGACATCGTCAAAGATTTACAAGCAACGGTTATCACTAGTCATAACTGTCGTCATTAAATTTTTATTCTTGTTATTGTTAGTAGTATGATTATTACACTATTACCATTAATAATAATATTAGTTGTATTGGTATTATTATTATTAAACTTTATCGATAACTGAAAAAACTTGTATAGAAAATATATATCATATCTTTGATTTTCTATTCTATATTAGGGCTCCTATTTCCACCTGACTGATTCTAGAGAAAGGCACGGATACAGAAGGCTCGATTGGCTTTTGCCAACTTGCGTCATTTATGGCGTAGGCGAGATATCCGTCTATCAACCAAACGACGTGTTTACTGCGCAGCAGTTCGTTCCGTCCTACTTTATGGCTGTGAAACATGGCCGGCAAGAGTAGAGGATATTCGTAGGTTACTAGTTTTTGATCATAGGTGTCTTTGAAATATTGCTCGTATATCCTGGGACCATCGAGTAAGTAATCCAGTTGGTAGGAAACGGGTACTAGGTAAGGATGGCAAATCAATTGATAACGCAGTGAAACTTCATCAGTTGAGATGGCTGGGACATGTGTTACGTATGCCCAACCACCGACTGCCTCGATGTGCGATGTTTTATGGTGTAGGAGTAGGTTGGAAGAAAGCTATGGGCGGCCAGACCAAAAACATGGCACAAGTCCATGAAGTCACTCACAAGTGGACTGAGTCATATTGGTAGGTGTAGACTACCTGCTTGGGGACCGCAAGATGATAGCAACCGATGGTTGTAGACCCTGAATGACATGGCTCAAAATCGTTTGCAATGGCACAGGTGCATCCACTCTCTGTGTTCTCCCGAATTCTAATCTTCTGAATTCTTCATGTCCCTTTCTTTTTTCTCTTTCCAAATTTATTTCGCTGGATTATACTCTTTGAATAACATCTCCAAACCCTTATCTTCCCGATTACTGCTTATACTCTTGCTGCCTCTACCACTACGGGATTTGAATCGACAACTGCATCTCTGTGCTAATGTGGTGTGGCAACTCGAACTGCTGTACGTACGTACGAAGTTCTACGTTGTTACTGACTGACTGACTGAGAGAAAGGCTAAAAGTGGCAATTCCCGGACATCACTTAATGAAGTAATTAGCTGTGTTTGTAGGTGAAGATTAATTAATCACTTGGTTGGAGTCAGAGCAATCCTTAAAGTTAATGGTTGGAAACTGAGTGACGGGTCAGGACCGGTCCCAGTAGTGCACATACCCTTTAACCCTCATAAAACCCAGTTCCATAATAATTCTACAATTTTTATGCTGCAAATTCATTCTTTCTTCGGGAATCATATAGCTTATGCATGTTGTTTGATACTTCTGTAATGAACGAATTCTTAGGTAGTAGACCAATTTACTGTACAGTGCAAAATCATACACTGCATTTGTAATATATGAAAACAATACACCGAATACATCATTTGCACACATTCCTTGAATTGCCTCTTGCAAGGTTCGTCAATGTTTTATTCCTGTTGCTGCTCGGACTGCTTATCCTTTTCTTTCTGTTACCCACATTTTCCTCTTCTGTCACTAAGAATTCTACTTCCAAATTTTGATACATACTACTGCTATCTGTCCGTACAAGTAGCACATACAACACTAAGACAAATATGTGTAGAGTTTATATTAGATTGAGATTGTTATTGATTAATACCACTCCGTTACTGTGATACACTATGGTAACTTTGATCGATCCACATGTCTCAGGTTCCATGTTGCTTATGAATGACTATGTTGGCTATTTAGGAATCTGTTGTTCAGTTACTGCTGGTTCGGGTGTTCATGAATGGATGCTTTGATTTTGACTGTAACTACAAGAGATTCAGTCGCCTAATGGATAATGATTTAGTGTTTATAATAACGGGCTCGTTGCACAATACGAATATATTACCACTTGGACCCACTTGTGTCTAGCTAACGAGTTCTGTTAGCGGGACATAGACTAGATTAAATCACTTTCCATGCAGGACTATGTTGGAGCACGCTGATTAACCTTTTCTTTGCCAACCAGCCCTTATCGAGGATTCTAAAGCTAAACACTACCCAACCATCCTATTTTACAATTATTCTTTGTAAACAATGATTCGAATTCGACAGTATATACATATAAGACTCGTAAAATTATTCTTTCAGTTTTACTGACTACTTTGTTCTTTATTACTATTGTTGTGCAGGGTTCGAAAGCTGATACTGATATGTAATCTTCTTGAGTAGAAAGATACTAAAAGGAAGCTTTATTGGAATACATGTAGCCATATATATATATATATATATATATATATATATATATATATATATATATATGATTATACATGTATATATACATGTATACCAGTAAAACTTTCTTCTCAATCTTGGTTTTCTCACTGAAGCAACCTATTGAGCTCGCGTATACAGAAGCTTATATGTATTGGTGTCTGAACTGAACGCTGCACAACCGAACATATAATCTTATCAAACTGATAGAAATTAGTGCGTAGTTTATCGTATGTGTAAAAGCAATAAAAATGTATTGGTAAATCGGCATTTTAACTAACTTGATAGTATTGACCTATGGAATCACAGCATTCAACTCCATTATGTGGACATTTAACCTGTACATCAAGACTATCAATCAGAGATTTAAACGAATCGCTAGTACCCTCAATGGATTTTGAAATCGTAATAGTTGATGTCTGGATGATAATATTACTAATATTATTATCAGTATTATTATTATGTGAAATTATTTTAGTAGTTTCATTTAACTTTTTATTTAATACTGATAAATGTTGTCTTTGTTTAGTCTCCCATCGATGACTTGCTGCTTCCATAAAACTACGCTTCATAATGTCCTGAAAGAAATAAGAATAATTGAAAGCAATGAGAAATCCCTCATGATCTGATGAGTAAGTAATATTTATCTATGGACATAAATGGGAAATAATCGAGATCTTATTAAGAAAGTCAATAGTGTTATGAACACATCTTTTGTCAACTCATTGACAAGTAAAGATGTTAGTCTATTAGATGATTATCATTTTGGTGTTCACGATCTGACTTCATAATGGATGATGATGAATGGAGCACAAAATATAAATCTTCCGTTGTACCACACATATCACACTTAGGCTAACCTCATTTGGGCAATGGTCGTTACAATAGTCAGACACGAATTAAGTTGGAAGAGTTTATTCCAGGTACTGATTTACTCAAACAGACAACAAGTGAAAAATGGAGAAGGGCTTTCCAGCCAACCGCATGGACACATACGTACCATTGTAAACACATCCTCATGACCACATAAATGTGACAAAATGACTGGAAAGATTAGGATAATTCATCTATCAAAAAGTAAATTGTGTAAACGTGTAACAACACCAACTGCCACACCATTGCTTTGATTATTGCAGTGGATCCACTTATTTTCTCAACAATATTGAGAAAACTAGCATTTCTGTAGACGAAAGTAAATCTTAAATTTCGTTATTGTTAGTGTGTGGTTTGTGGAGATTGTTGGATTTGATAGTTTACTTTACGAGCTGACTTTAGTTATGCAACCGCTGGGAACTAAGAAGCACTGGACATCTGTTTTCTGTCTACTAGAAATTGAAGGATAATTTCCGAAGTTATAGATTGGGAAGCCGTAACCAGTAGTATAGTTCAAACATACTGACTGTGAGACAACTACCAACTGACGACATTGGATGATTTGCAATGTCACCAGTTGATTGAATTTAAAGTGTAAACCATCGGATGCTAACGCAGAAGTCTAAAGGTTAAGCACTTGTCTTAAACTCTAAAGATCCTGAGCTCCATATCCATTATGGACGTGAATGCACACTTTGCAAAAGACTAGAACTAAAATGAAACAACCATTTAGTGCATCATGGTTTCTAATTCTTTACTTTTATCGTGTTTTCATAACAAAAACTGTACAGATTTTATGAACTACTCAGTTTAAATTATTTATGACCATTGGCCTTATTTTGTATTCACAATGACTGACAAAGTTCAGATATTCATATTTGTTCACAGAACATAAATCCGGTCGAGTTAACTGTACGCTTACGATGGATCGAGTGAAATGTACTAGACAAATATTGATACACTAAACTGTACATGATTATTTTTTTCATTGTTAAATTACTGACAGTCATAAATCTACTACTCATACTTCCAACTAAAAAAAATTCAATTTAGTTACCATTTTCGATTTATGGTGTGTTTTGGGCTTGTATAACATCTATATCGTCATCAACGACGTAAAATAATACAAAAGGTTCAGCTGCATATCTAGTGTATTGATTCGGCAAACTGAATGCAGGTGAGAAATTTTGTATGGGTAATTGATCACTTATCACGTAAACAGTAGTTTACTTAACACACATATATGGTGGCAGAGGTAGGAGAAGAAAAGTCATGAGTTTGAGTGTTAGCGGGACATAGACTAGATTAAAGCATGCTCAATGCATGATTGCTTTGGTGCGCGCTGATTGGCTAATTCTTATCCAATCAGCACTAGTCGATAGTTGGAGAATACTCTGGAATCTTCTTATGTAAAAACTATAAATATACTGACGTTTTTCCCTATTGTGCTTCTGACTTGCTATTTGGAATATAATCTCCTTCCTGTTCAACCGTGTTCTGATTTGGGGTCTTGTCGAGTGAATCGGTGTCCAAGGATACTAAGCAATAGGAATAGCTGGGTCATAACCGTAAGAAGAAAGAGGTTATAACATTGAGCATTTGGATTATGATACTAAAGGCCTAGTTACTGAACCTATACTTGTGTTCACTGTTAAAAGTAAACGGTGCCACCTGGCCTTATTACGTAGGTGGTAAATTCGAAAGCATAAACTAGACACCTTAAAAGGTTGTGGTTTAGTAGGATTGATTTGACAGAAAACAGGTGTAAACATGTTTATCGACAGCTTGACAATATGGATCAGTAAAAGTTATTATTTTAAAGATTAGTTGAACAGAAAATCAAACAAAAAACATAGTTCATTAGAATGATAGAATACCGAAAAGGTTTAAGTGACACTAATTTATGTGAAAACAGTAAGCACTAATGAAGTGGTCCATCCATGGAGACAATGATAGCTCCGGAATTAAACCATCTAGATCAGAGAACACACTATTAACGGATTAAAAGATTTAAAGAGAATGAATTTATGTTAAATACAAGGATTACTAAGAGGCAAATTACCTGTGGAGTTAGTGAAGATGATCGATGTAAATTTAAAATCATAGAATAAGTGACTCTGAATCTTGAAATTAATTCTGTTTGTCTTCCAAGTATCATATTTCGCAAAAGACTCTCAGTCGGTAGACCAGTGACAGATGATTTTAACGATTTACCAATAGTACTAACCAAAATAATCACAAGACCTTTGGCGTCTATACCACGACGACCTGCTCGACCAGCCATTTGAGTAAATTCACCTAATAACAATAATAGTAATAATAATAACAACAATAATGATATTTTATGGAAAATAACACTAGAAATAAATGAAAATAACATTAAAGTTTGATTTAAATAAAAGACTAAACATGAAACTTTGAACGAATTGAATTGGTGAAAAGGATAGATAACAGACAGCAATATTATACAATCAAACAGAAAATATATATGAACGATCATTAAAGTAATGATGTAAATTTCCTAAATGCATTCAATATAAAAGCTCAGCGGTTGATATCCTTTAAATAATACTAAAGTAAGCAGATTTTTAACCAAATTGAAAGAGTAGTATAGAAGCACTAACAATAATAGTAGTAGTAAAAACACCTGGGTATAAAAAATGCGAAGAAAACGATCAGCTCAATTGAAACAAACACTAAAAAGTTAATGAGGGACTTTTGGTCTCATATGGACGATTAACCTCTAGACCACTAAACTGGGAGCCAACGGTGTTGATGTCTAACTTCAACCAATCCGCGATATTGCACGACCATCTTTCATTTTCTTTGGTAGATAACTGTCTCACACCCGACACGGTTGAACCCCACTGGTCACAGATTCTCACAAAGTTAGTCACTAGTGGGTATATGATAATCATCAGTATAGGGTTGTGGAGATTGTTGGGTTTTAATTAAGATCATGAACCGATCAATGTCCCATACTAGGACAAAACGGCCATTCAGGTTTTCAGTGGTGGTCTAACACTGATCGATTCATGATCTAAATTAAAGTTTAAAAATCCCCACAACCCTATACTGATAATATTGATTATATGATACAATACTACTTCATTTTCTTCGCTTTTCATATCCGACACTTGGATAAGTTTGATTATCTTCGATAACTTTGTAACACTCCCCCATTTTACTATAGACTACTATATATAAAAAATTACCTGTAAATACGACTGTACAGCTTGAGAAAACGATACTGTCAAGAAAATTTTCCTCGTTGAAATATCTTTTTTTAATTATAAATGCGTTACTCAATTTTGTGTTAAAAATCATTTTAGTTATGCATTTTTTTTATGGTTTATTATTTGTCATGTGCACTGGTATTTTATCTTATTTGTATAGTGACCATATGAATTGTGATTAATATGATCATTTGTCCAAATCTGAACGAATACTTTGATAAATAAATTGGTACATTATGAAAATAACCGTGTCAGAAATTGGGTGAAGTCATTTTTCACTGCGATGAACCATGTCCAGTGTGGAACGGTTCAGTACGTGGGATGAAAAAAAAAACACGAATACACCAAACGTAAGGGCTGGAAATAAAATCTTCGATGAAACTTAAATTTTAATGTATAGCACTCCACTTACCAATTAAATGGACAGAAAAAATGACAAGAAGTACAGTGTACGGTATACTTTATGGACTTCACCAGATCACACTACACAGAACCAAATCGACCATATCTGCGTCAACAAGATTTCAGAAGAATGATGGAGGATGTGAGAACCAAGAGAGGGATCGATATAACATCAGATCATCACTTGCTGGTCGCTAAGATGAAATTGAAACTTAAGATGCACTGGACAACGGGGCGGCCAACACCATAAAAGTTTAATAGGGCTTTCTTCGGAATACTGACAAACTCAACAAATTCAAGATAGCCCTCAGCAGTAGGTTTCAGGCCTTTCACGATCTACTCAGTGGAGGAGTAACTACTATCCAGAGCAACTGGAAATGGATAAAAGAGGCACTCACTTCAACATGTCATGAGGTTCTCGGCCACAAGAAGCACCATCACAAGGAATGGATCACTGTTGATACATTGGATATAATGCAAGAAAAGAGAACCAAGAATGCAGCAATCAATACCAGCCGAACAAGAGCAGAGAAAGCCAAGGCACAAGCTGAATACACACAAGTAAACAAACAAGTGAAGAGGAGCATCAGAACTGACAAACGTAAATATGTGGAAGATCCAGCAATGACGGCGGAAAATGCTGCAAGAAAAGGAAACATGAGACAATTGTATGATACAACAAAGAAACTCTCTGGAAATTATCGTAAACCAAAATGACCAGTGAAAAGCAAGGAAGACAAAGTAATCACCAACATCGAAGAACAGCGAAACAGGTAGGTAGAACACTTCAAAGAACTCAAATCTACCAGCCCCACTGAACCCACTCAACATCGAAGCAGCGCCCACGGTCCTCCCAATCGATGTTGGCCCACCAACAATTGAAGAGATCATCATGGCCATCAAACGAATCAAGAGTGGCAAAGCAGCAGGACCAGACAACATTCCAGCAGAGGCACTGAAAGCAGACGTAGCAGTAACTGCAGGGATACTCCAAATTCTATTTAGCAAGATTTGGGATGAGGAACAAGTACCAACAGATTGGAAAGAAGGACACCTGATCAAAACACCAAAGAAAGGCGATCTCAGCAACTGTAGTAACTACAGAGGCATCACTCTTCTCTTGATACCAGGAAAAATCTTCAACAGGGTATTGTTAAACAGAAGGAAGGGCTCCGCAGACGCCCAACTTCGAGACCGACAGGCTGGATTACGTAAGGACAGATCGTATACACACCAAATCGCAACACTACGGATCATTATGGAACAATCAATTGAATGGAGTTTACCACTCTACAGCAATATTATTCACTACGAGAAAGCGTTCGATAGCGTGGACAGGACAACACTATAGAGGCTTCTTCGACACTACGACATACCTGAGAAGATAGTCAGTATCATACGGAATTCCTATGATGGCTTAAACTGAAAAATCTTGCATGGAGGACAGCTCACAGACTCGTTCGAAGTAAAGACCTGTGTCAGGCAAGGTTGCTTACTCTCACCCTTTCTCTTTCTCCTGGTGATCAACTGGATCATGAAGATGTCAACATCTAGGGGAAAGCATGGGATACAGGGGACAGATAGGATGCAGCTGAACGATCTAGACTTCGGAGATTATCTGGCTTTTCTATCGCACACGCAACAACAAATGCAGGAGAAAACGACCAGTATAGCAGCAGCCTCAGCAGCAGTAGGTCTCAATATACACAAAGGGAAAAGCAAGATTCTCCGATACAACACAGCATGCACCAATCCAGTCACAATTAACGGAGAAGATTTGGAAGATGTAAAAACCTTCACATATCTGGGCAGCATCTTGATGAACATGGTGGATCTGATGCAGATGTGAAGGCGCGGATCGGCAAAGCAAGAGCAGCGTATTTGCAACTGAGGAACATCTGGAACTCAAAACAATTGTCAATCAACACCAAGGTCAGAATTTTCAATACAAATGTCAAGACAGTTCTACTGAATGGGGCGGAAACCTAGAGAACTACGAAAGCCGTCATCCAGAAAATACAGGTGTTTATTAACAGTTGTCTACGCAAAATACTTCGGATCCGTTGGCCGGACACTATTAGCAACAACCAACTGTGAGAAAGAACAAACCAGATCCCAGAGGAGGAAGAAATTAAGAAGAATTGCTGGAAGTGGATAGGTCACACATTGAGGAAAGCACCCAACTGCGTCACAAGGCAAGCCCCCACTTGGAATCCTCAAGGTCAAAGGAGGAGAGGAAGACCAAAGGACGCGTCACGCCGAGAAGTGGAGACAGACATGAGAAGAATGAACAATTGGATAGAACTAGAAAGGAAGGCCCAGGACAGAGTGGGTTGGAGAATGTTGGTCGGCGGCCTATGCTCCACTGGGAGTAACAGGCATAAATAGTAAGTAAACGGTATATTTAGTGAACATTGAAAATGTTATAGATAACCTCAGCGTCTATCACAGCATGTTTAAACTTGAAACGATACGATCAGATGTTAGAGAATATAATTTATCTATAGTGGTTGTATATTAGTGATTAGATATTAATTATTGTCCCATAAATTATGCATATATATAATGCTTAAAAAAGCTCCCTGACTATATATTACACTATAATACTTACTTGGATCCAAAGAGCGTCTAATATGACCATCAAATTTTTCAAGCGACGTAAAGACTACACAACGTGCAGGTGTATTAACTCCTGTAGAAACTGTTTCTGTAGCGAAAAGAATTTTCACTAAACCAGCTCTAAATAAAAGTTCCACCGTCTAGTGGATATAAATTATCAACAAATAAAGAAAAGTAGTTATTATTGAAAGAATCAACGCAAACGTACAAAAGCATCAATATTAGTTATGTTGTTCAACCTAGAATGTATGTATATCACACTATATCACCACAGAAATATTCTACAATGATAGAAATAGTGACGACAATAGTAGTATTAGAGAAGATTAGCCAACATATGCTCCTCAGAACATAGAAAATGAGGAAACACATGTCACGTTTACTGACATAGAAATTTCTAGAGACTCAAGGTTACCCTTAATTTTCTGCATATTAGCTAAACTAAAAGTAAGCTTCTACTCATATTTCGTATATTTTCTTTATTGGTCCAGTCGACGTGTAAAAGTGGTTTGGGGTTATAGAAAGCGGCTGCGAAGGTAGTAGTAAGCGTCCCAGTAGCAGAATTATCAGCTGGAACAATGGTCTATTAACCCACAGAACAAAAGTAATCAACAAATTTACTCAACGTGAAGCACTGTACATATCACATATACATTATTTCATGATACATAGCGATTTAGGAAAGTTATGCGTACCGAGATTATTGAGAATGATCTCACTGAAGAACGACATTTTGTATGGATAAGTGATATTGATTTACCGTGATCATGAACTTTACTGTTAACTCCTTCCATTTTTTTACAGAGGTGCTCTTAAAATTTCTAATCTATATTTGTCATTTACAATTTTTTCACCACGTAGAGTACAAATATCAGCAGTGAAATTGAATTCAGAAAAGAACAGAAGTATTCAAACAGCAAAAATATTACTCACTTCTTTTAATATAGGTAACATCCCGCTATGATGAACAGCTAGTCCTCTTCTAGTTAAATCATGAAGAAATTTAACTGAAGCAAGTTTTCGATCACATTTTCTTAAGCGACCAGTAATTGTAGAGAAAAACTTCGTAATTTGTTGTTTTTCAGCTAAATAAAGAATATACATACAAATACCATGTGAATTGGTAAGTGTTATTAGTTGACTATGGTTGACATTCAGATATGTAATAAATTTATTTTTTCTTCAATCCGGGAAAATTGTCGCGAAATGTAGAGTCATGGTGTTACAAGTTCCGGAAGATTTAGTAATTGGCTAACAATAAAATCCAGAAAAAGTATTTCGTCCGGTCTGTGACCCGTGAAATAATAGTCAAACACAGAACCTTTGCTTCAAATGCCAAAGTTCATATAATTTATGAACCCCAACTAGAAAGAAACACAAACTCTAGATTCCACATTAAGTCAAGAATCGTCAGAAATACGAATTTGGACTCAATGACATCACAAAAAATACCATTATTACTAATTAAAATTGTTTGTTAAGGCTAATTCGTCTAAGGAAGAGATAAGGGTGTTAATTATGACCAAAAAGATTTGGATTGTTAGCTTGAATCCTTAGAGCTTTTGCTATATGTAAGAGGTGAAACTGAATACTCTTGTCATGCAATTTTGATAATTTTTCGTAAATCTTATTTCAGTGTCTACCTTTTCCAAGTCATTGACCTACCTCTTTTTATGAAACATTGATTCAAGCTTTTATTAATCACTGCACAATTAGTACACCTATCATTGACCTGTCAATTTGTATTTTTTACCGAATATGTTTATTGATGTAATTTATTCCACTGTTATCATTGTCTCATAAGCTGGCTTGATCGGTTTAATAATTCCATTCATTTATTTAAACATATAAACGTTGGTACAAGGATGCACCAAATATATATGCGCCACACACCGTCATTCGATTTATGTGAGGGCTGGAATACTGTCCTGGCGCCCAAACCGAAGCAGATAATAATTTCATAAATGCATATAAGCATTTCGTATTAAAGACTGGTGAAGATCTAATTCAAAGAAATATTGTTCGCTAATATATGTAGTTCTAATTCACAATATAGGAATTTTTAGTACTTTAAAATTCATTCAATAAAGATCTTAAAACGCTGTGTCGAAATTGTTAAAGATGAATTCCTAGGTATTCATAGAAACCATGGGTATTCGCGAATACAGACCTTCTCTATGTCTATAAAACACAATATGTCGTAACCTTAGATCGTCGCCGGTAATCCTCTACACAATTTTACGGCCAATAATAGTGTGATAACATTTACTCTCGCTCCGTATTATATTGATTTTTTTCTCTCGATTATTTATAAGCGTTTAACTGACCTCCACATGTTTTTACACACAAATGCCTTGACAAATACATGTGTGACCACATTATCCGAAATGTATCGTGTAAACACAACTTGTTTTTTTCTTAAACACAGCACGTCTTCACATTACTTTATCAACCAGAATGTAAACTAACTAAGAAAGGAAACTAACGATTTCAAAACCCCAAAAGAATAAGATAATCGGAAAAATATCTTGCAAAACAGCAACAACACATCACGTACATTTACATGTTAAGTCTACTGATGATAGATTTTTAGCTAATGTTTCAGTGGATGATCGAGAGAATGTAAATGCTATCGCAGGCATAAGATTTTGTTCTTTTAGCAAATTAACAAATCCAAGCCATGTATTTTTAGTATGCATAATGAAAGCATCTTTCCCTCTACAAGCTATGACAAAATAATGAAACAAAAATAATTAAATTATCTAATAGTTGTAGACAATTTATATAATATCAGTCAAAGAGATCCTTTTAATGATATATATATATATATATATATATATATATATATATATATATATCTTTGCGACTCATCATGTTGATAAAACATAGAAGCAAAAAGTTGAATACGAGTAGTGTTGAGGATGTATATTTCCTGCATATGAATTATCAGACAGATAGTATGAATGAATCGATGAATAAAACATGATATTTGACTATTACTAGCCAAAAAATGTTTAGTTACGTGTGGATAAGCTTATGTACGAAAACAGACAAAGAGTGATAAAGACAAATGAAGCATGCATATATAGAAATGCCCACAGATAAATACATACAATCTAAACAATATGACAGTGACGACACATAAAGAAGTTCGATAACTTTGCATAACAATTTTTATAAAACTGCAATTAGAATTTACAATATGAATGGATTTTTGATTAATTGTTTACATGTTCAAGTGTATATGGGCCGCTATATTATCATTAATTACAATGAGGCCTAGTTACAATTATTATTTGAACACATAGATATTGGTACAAGGAGGTACCAAATACATATGCGCCACACAAATCTCATTTGATTTGTGTGAGGGCTGTGATACTGCCCAGCTGCCCAAACTGAAGCAGGTGGTATTCCTAAGGCGCCACACTCAGAGCCTCCGACCTAAAGGTTTGATCCACAAGGCAGTGGAGCAGATGCAGTTTTATAGCAGCCGGTGATCAACGGTTGGTTCATACACCATTTGTTCCTTCAGGATACTGGAGCCCATATTTAATATCGGTTTGGAGTCAGGGTCTTTCAACTCCCTAGGTGGACTCTCAGTGTCCACCAACCCGGTTAAAGCACCGGATATTCGCTTTTCGTCCTCTCAATTTTGTAAACAACACCCCCGACACGGGAAGGCAGTGAGTAGGACTCCCCTAGCAGTGACTGTATACGCGTGGCTATGTGAGAGCATTTCGAGAGAGAGCTAATTCTCCCACCCTCGGCCGTACCAGGGCATTTGGAGGCATGAGGCCTAGTTACTAAGTATAAAATATTTGAGAAGAATCTTGAGAATAACCTCAACATCTTAATCATTAAAACAAATCTAAACTAGTCTAGACAAAGCAACTGCTTTAAAAATTGTCTGTAAACGATTAACTCTTAGCTATAAAACTTCATAATTTCTACTTGTATATCAATGTTAAAATATAAAAATGTATTAGATGTATAGGTAAAAAAATTTACAAAACTTAACAAAGAAATGGCCTAAGTATTTTTTAAGAAAAAACTGAACTAAACGAACAATTATCCTCAGTGCTGCTAAGATATATTCAATGAAGAATTTTAATGAACATTCTTCTCTTTACAATAATGTTTAACATTTAAATTTGCATTATATCGGTAGTCTGTTGTATATATACTTAGTCGAATCTTACGATCAAGTTGGAAAATAACCCTGTGTGGGTTTGGGATACTTTTACGTTTACGAAAGCTTCCAGGTGGATAAATTTGCAACTTGATAAATAGAATTCTATCAGTCTTAAAAGGGCTAAACAAGCATTGTAATAGCCACTACTCAGTCACCGATCAATTGTACATATGTTAGTCTTACGAGAGTTCCGTAGCGGTCCAAATAGCTCGGTGGTAACGTTTTAAACTGTGAGTAACTGCTATAACGAGATAAATATTAAGCAAAGTTGAACTTTAAGAACTTTCCTATCCACAGTTGTTTGTATTTTTGTAGTATAATCTTTAAATACTTAAATAATTGTAGTTTTGTACCTTCCTGTTTGTAACCTTTACGTGATTCCTAAGCTGTTGCTATGTTTCGTACCTTCCTTAAGTTACTGTTACTTTATCATGAACCCATTACTCAAACCATTTTACATTTGGGCAGTAAATATCGCCACATGATCATCATTTTTTAATTAAGTTGGTATGAGCTCAAGAACTTACTTTATATGAGTTGAGTCATGAAAATGAACTGTGTAATTAGAATATCACTACCTGCTGTGTTGTGTTCTATCATGGCTCTCTGGTGAGTGAGTGCTCATAAGTCCCAAGAGGCACAAAACCTAAGTCTGACATTTCTTTCTTGACACTTCAAAAAAGGTGCTCAACGACTCACTGTCCCTTCAAATGGTATGTATCTCGATAATTGTAGACGACTAAAACTGATTTTCTGTTCACAAACATAATGCGCAAAAACTTTCATTTTACTACTGTTGGTACGTTTTATGCACACATACAATACATATAAATACACATAAAACATGAGCAACCCAAAAAGATTGCTTAATATGATTATACTTTCGGATTTATGATGTTTGAAATATTAACCATCAAATGCAAACCAAAATCTCATGATCGATAAATAACATTGCTTTTTGGTAGTGTAAGAGAAATATGCAAGGATGGATGCAATGGCACAAGAGTTACAATCGATATGGTGAAGATTTAAGGTAAATAACTAAGCCTTAACATTAATTAATTGGTAAGTGCCTCTCGAAAATTAACAGTACCTTGATCCAAAGATAGATTTTAACTGAAGAACTACTGAGAACCAATGAGCTGCAACACAAACCTGACTGAATTTTATTATATGAATCAATGAGGTTATGAATTCGTGAGATCTAAAAATCCCAAAGTATTTTGTTAAAGGTTAGTGCTGATGATAAATTTAATAGTAATGAACAAAGCTCTCTGTTCAAGTGAATTTTAGTTTAAAATAGCTTGTTTCATTCCATGATGGCGATCATTCAATAAAATTTGTACGAAATCTTAAAAAAAAACACTTTAACATATTTTTTTAAAATATTAATAATATACATGACAAATTCGTTGACGATAATCATCGGATAGAATTAGATTTATTTTAAAACTAATCAATCACTGAGTAGTGACCAATACCATATTTATTAATTCCTTTAATGTTGATCATATCGTATTGTGAAGTTGGGAAGTGGCTACTAGTTCAAGTGATTCGAAACCCATCCACTATGTTGAAATGTCAAATAGTTGGAGATAGTCGAGAGGAAACCGTGAAAAACATAGGTTCCACGCCAAACAACACTCGTCAGTAAGGTGTACCCTACAATCTTGAGAGAATTGGTGCTTCTTAATGAATTTGAACATGTGTCACCTGATCTCACAGCCTGAGACGTTACCACCGAGCTATTCCAACGATGTTTCTTGTTTAATACCCCTAAACCTCCAACATATTTTATTATTGTATTATATGTAACTTAAATAAACTTACCAGGAGTACGATATGATGATCCTCCAAAATTTTTCGACAAAGCAGCTGCCTGATAACCTATAAACGGAAATAAATTGCAAACATTTTACAATATGTAATGCGTACTTTCCTTTTCTATAAGCGCCACACACGTCACTTGATTTGTGTTATTCAGTCACAACGTAGGACCAGGCACATATATCAGTCAGTCACTAACAACGTAGAACTTCGTACGTACGTACATCAGTTCGAGTTGCCACACCACATTAGCACAGAGATGCAGTTGTCGATTCAAATCCCGTAGTGGTAGAGGTAGCAAGAGTATAAGCAGTAATCGGGAAGATTAGGGTTTGGAGATGTTATTTAAAGAGTATAATCCAGTGAAATAAATTTGGAAAGAGGAAAAAAAGGGACATGAAGAATTCAGAAGATTAGAATTTGGGAGAACACAGAGAGTGGATGCACCTGCGCCATTGCAAACGATTTTGAGCCATGTCATTCAGGGTCTCTAACCATCGGTTGCTATCATCTCGCGGTCCCCAACCAGGTAGTCTACACCTACCAACATGACTCAGTTCACTTGTCAGTGACTTCATGGACTTGTGCCATGTTTTGGTTTGGCCGCCCCTAGCTTTCTTCCAACCTACTCCTATACCACTGAACATAGCACGTCGAGGCAGTCGGTCGTTGGGCATACGTAACACGTGTCCCAGCCATCTCAACTGATGAAGTTTCACTACTTCATCAATTGATTTGCCATCCTTACCTAGTACCCGTTTCCTAACAACTGTGTTACTTACTCGATGGTCCCATGATATACGAGCAATATTTCGAAGACACCTATGATCAAATACTAGTAACCTACGAATATCCTCTACTCTTACCGGCCATGTTTCACTGCCATAAAGTAGGACGGAACGAACTGCTGCGCAGTAAACACGTCCTTTGGTTGATAGACGGATATCTCGCCTACGCCATAAATGACGCAAGTTGGCAAAAGCTAGTCGAGCCTTCTGTATCCGTGCTGAGATTTCGTCACACACCAAACCACAAGGGCTGATGAGACTTCCAAGATAAGTGAAGCGGTCGACACACTCAACTACTTCACTCCCTATCACTAGTTCGGGTGTCGATGTAACCCAATCCTGAAGCAACATTTTGCATTTCGAGGGAGAGAATCGCATCCCGAACATGCTTGCATTGTTGCTTAGAGTGGTCAGAAGACTCTGCATTTTGTCAGCGTCTTCACCAAATAAAACTATGTCATCAGCATATTCTAAGTCAACAAGTGAACCTCCCGGTAGAAGTTCAACCCCTGTAAATTTAGATGAGGAGAGTGTTATCTCTAAAAGTACGTCAGACAAAGTTGAACAAGAATGGGGAGAGTGGACAGCCCTGACGAACACCACTTGAGGTAATCAATTCTGATGACAGTTCGCCATAAGCTCTCACTCGACCAGTTGTGTTCGAGTAGAGAGCCTTTATAAGGTTAATGTACTTCTTTGGTACTCCTTTCAGTGACAAACACTGCCATAGAACCTCACGATCAACAGAGTCGAATGCCGCCTTAAGGTCGAGAAATACTACCATTGTGGGGCGTCTGAATGTGTGTCTGTGTTCTAGAACCTGACGTAGTGTGAATATCTGATCTATACAACCACGTCCAGGTCGAAAACCAGCCTGGTTTTCTCTAGTCTGCTCTTCACGAGCTTTGATTAGGCGTCGAAGTATTATTGAAGCTAATATTTTAGACACTATATTAGTCAAACTGATTCCTCTGTGATTGTCACAAGAGGACTTTTGTCCTTTCTTATAGACTGGCACAATCAGTGATTGAGACCAGTCAGATGGGATTACGTCCAGTTCCCAAATTCTACCTAAGACCTCAGTTAATCTCATTGCTAATACTGGACCACCATCCTTAAAAATCTCAGGAGTAAACCTGTCAGGGCCTGCTGCTCTCCCTCGTTTCAGATTTCCTATGGCTTTTTCAACTTCGTAAAGGGACGGAGGACCTACATTAACTTGCCATTCAGGTTGACTAGAGATCGTGGGAAACCGAAGTGTGGCTGAAGGCCAGTTGAACTGATCCCTAAAGTGTTCTGCCCATCGATCCAATCTCCTGGATTGAGAATGAATAATATGTCCATCTTTCTCTGAGATTGTTTCGCTAACGGTCGGGTTCCTAATTCCGGTTTCCTTAACGAGTCTGAACAATTGTCTGCTATTACCTATTGCCGCTGCCTTTTCCATCTCTCTTGCTTTCGCTACCCACCACTGTTCGCGATCATTGCGTAGACTTCTTGTCAGCTTGCGCTTAAGCTGACTCCGCTCTTCATTATGTTCAGAGCCAGGTGGAATGAGTTTCCGAGCATCTATCAGTGCGATAGATGCTGCTGAGATCCAGTGTTGCTCCCTAACCTTCTGGTTTACCTTACTAGCAGATATCACTGCTGTTTCCACAGCTTTTCGGATATCATTCCATGCTGCATCGGGGTGGGCATCACATACATGGCTGCCTAACTGTTTTCCTAGTTGTTCCTGAAATATACTCTTAGCTTGACTATCATTAAGTAGGCCCTAAGAGGTTTCCTTGCAGCGTCTTTCCTACGTCCAGTAAGACGCAAGCAAATACGCGCTCGCACTAGAGCATGATCTGAATCTAGGCATGTGCTCCAGAATGAGCGACAGTCTTCTATCGAGCCCCTCCATCGGTGGCTGATAGCGATGTGATCTATTTGGGTCCAACGTTGGGACGAATTAGGGGGTCGCCATGTTAAAAGATGTTTTTCCTTATGCTTAAAGTTAGTATTTGCAAGGAACAGGCGGTTATCTGAGCATAGCTGCAACAGACGGTCGCCATTATCTGTTCTTTGAGCCACGACACCATAAGATCCACCTAGGTGTCTTTCCCTATCGCTTAGTTTACCTACTTGAGCATTAAAGTCACCGGCCACTATTACTACATCCGAGCGCCTAGCTTTTCGGAGAAGGTCCGAAAGCTTTCTGTAAAACTCATCTTTTACATCATCTGAGCTGCAGTCAGTGGGAGAATAGGCAGAGACGACGAAGAGGCAACGACGAGTGTCCCTATCTTTCCGGATTCTTACTGTTCCGTTCAGTCGGACAGCGCACAAACGACTGTCTACTGGGATCCACTCTAAGAGAGCTAGTTCTGCCCTAGGACTCAATGCTATACCTACGCCGGCGAGGCCACGGGAAGCAGAATCAGGGCTTCCAGATACACGAAGCGTAAATCGAGTCGGTTCTTTATTTTGGCATGGTGAGGTCAAATGAATGACGCTACTCGGATCCTGTATGCGCGTTTCGGAGACGCAGCACACATCGATGGCGCGAGATTCTAAAGTTTTAGCTAAGGAAGCCTGCTGTCCTATTTGGCAAAGTGTTCGTACGTTAAAAGCTCCTACGTGTAGTTTAGAGCGTGGTTTCAGGAGACCAGGAATGGCGTTCCACGTACTCGAATCGTTTGCCCTAGCGGTGCGAGGTGATAAAGAGACGTGAGGAGGGTTAGTCATGGAGATAAGAGAGGTATTAGGAGGTGTAGGAAGGATTTGAATGTGACCAACTTGGTCTCTTGTGCTGTTACGGGTATGAGGGCTGATGTCACTTCCCGGCTGCCCACACCGTGGAAGGGTATTTCTTGAGGAACCTGAAAAGGAAATTGGATTAGTGTTGGTCTTGACGACCTGGGAGCGTGACCGCAGAGCCCAAGGGACAACTGCTTGAGGCCGGTCGCGCACGGCCTTTTTGTGGAAGGTTTTTGACGTGTTAGCTCCGTTCTTCAAAGGGCCTTACCGCCGGAGACGGAAATCCGTGAGGTAAGGTGAGGTGTGACATTTTTAGGGTCGACCTTTTCTAACCCCACCCCTCCTTGTGGGAAGGCAGCATCGCTGTCATGCTGGTTGTCCGAGGGAAACACCTTACTGCTGTCACACCCCTCTACAGTCAGCAGTACGACTTCGCCCTCAGACCTTGAGTTGCTGCTTTTAGTCTTACCGTTCTCCAATCGACCTGCCTGGCATGGTAGAACCTACAGGAACATATGTTCCAGCCAATATAGCTCGGTTGGGTCATCACGATAGGCAAGCCCGACCACCGCGTCAAGGTAGCAGCTTAGGTCGGGAGGCACTTATATGCATCGGTCCAAGTTGACATACCTCATTAACACAAGATGGACACCGGATTCATAAAAGTAGTTAATTCAGAGGTGGTAATATACAAAAAAAGATCTCATAGGGATATAGTACAAGAAGAAAGAATTAGTTCGTAGAAAGAAAGGCAGAGAGTGTATACACCGGCGCCATTGTGATCGATTCTGAGACATGTCACCAAGACTCTCCAACCTTCGGTTACGATAGTCACCCGGACCCCAACCAAGCAGTCTGCATCAACCAACATGGCTCAGACTAGAAGTTAGTACTTGATTTGTGTTTGGGCCACGATACTGCCCGGCTGCCCAAACTGAAGCAGGTGGTATTCCTAAGGCGCCACACTCAGAGCCTCCGACCTAAAGGTTTGATCCACAAGGCAGTGGAGCAGATGCAGTTTTATAGCAGCCGGTGATCAACGGTTGGTTCATACACCATTTGTTCCTTCAGGATACTGGAGCCCATATTTAATATCGGTTTGGAGTCAGGGTCTTTCAACTCCCCTAGGTGGACTCTCAGTGTCCACCAACCCGGTTAAAGCACCGGATATTCGCTTTTCGTCCTCTCAATTTTGTAAACAACACCCCCGACACGGGAAGGCAGTGAGTAGGACTCCCCTAGCAGTGACTGTATACGCGTGGCTATGTGAGAGCATTTTGAGAGAGAGCTAATTCTCCCACCCTCGGCCGTACCAGGGCATTTAAGGACTTTCTTTTAAGGTGAGTACACGGGAAGGACCACACAATCTACTGATAAGAGTTGCGGCGCTTGCAATGGCAGTTCTTACATGATAAGCTTACTTATTAAAAGAAGACCAGGTTGCACGACAAAATACAAGAATACCTGTTAAAATAACTCACAAGCTTCAAACAGTGGTTTGATAAAGTGCTTCGTGAATGACAGAGGGACTTCAATCTATGCACGAACTTCAGGTGGTGCTTAAATGACCTTAAGGATGTCCAACTACTTGCTGGAACTACACAAACGTTGTAGATTTGTGTGAAGAATCAGGACAAGAATTGACAACTGAATGTCAGGGTTAGGAATTAGAGTCGAGGCTTTCACTATGAACTGACATCATTTAGTGCCAAAATACCAATTAGCTTTATGGATAAATGAATTTTGGAACGAAATTCAAGGCCTGATATATTCTTTCAGGTCAGTTCGTACATAAATTAACGGTCTCGCCCAAAATGACTAGTATAGTAACCCTAGAAATATGCATTATACAAGCATGAGCTGAAGACAAAATAAGGGCTAGCAGAAAAATAATCGAACGGAAAAAACACTGGGATGAGGAGCCACAACCATAGCTCCCCACACTATATTCGCTATATGAATACGACTTAAACGCACTACACGTAGTAACAGAATAACAGGAAATGATTTGTATAAATTTTAAAAATAACACAAAAGTTGAACAGTATATTAAACACGTGAAGCATTAACAAGCGAACGAATAACAGGCGATAGCTAAAGTATTTCACCTAATGATAAATGCAGCAACAGGTTTTGAGGTACAACATAGAGTTAAACTAAAAACAGTAGGCAAAGATATGAACTAAGACGTAGAACAGCGATCTAATTACAGAACTCCTAACATAACGAACCACCACGTGGATCACAGAGACACAAGTGAAGTGAAATTGTGCTGAACGTTTAATCGCTAGATGAACTCACCCAACTTCGTAAATTTGAATAAGAACCATAAAATGAAATTCAACATCCACTACGCGAAAACAATTAGAATGACAAATTAATATACACTCACTGATTTATTGCAAAAATACTCAACCATAAATGTCATCGGCGAAGACATCACCGAAAGCAACGCTGACCCAAAACAGGTTGTCATGGTGGGAGACGGTCATTTTTATTCAACCAGTGACCAACTACTCCTCACCGGCCACCAAAGCGACTCTTCCGTACATAGAGGCCTTATCGGCACATTCAAACCTCTAGATAACACTTGAACATCTGTCAAACGCGATTTCTTATGATCATTTAACTCGTGTTAGAGCTAATCCTCGATTGTATCCGGTCGGCAATTTGTTGGGGCGTAGGCATTGATAACGATACAAAATCGTATTCCATTTTTGACTTCTCGCTCTGACGGAACCTTTTAATCTTGAAACACACTGACTACTGTTAATTGGGGTCTAATCGATTTGGTACAGGGGCGCTTAACAAACCCAATAAAATCTGATTAGGAATCATTATTAAGTCTTGATACCATAAGTAAACATGTGGTAACCTGACAAATAATATTCCTATTGGCAAAGCATACAAACTTAATACAATGGAAAATAGTTACCATCATAGGTTATGGCTCTTCATTTGAAAAGAATCGTTGACATGAGATTGTTAAACAAATCGATAACTTCATGAACATGAGTCAGTCAGTATTTTACCCATGAGCGCAAATACTATGAAGGAATACGTGACAACGTATTTCCTTATTCTGACTTGTAAACGTTACCTGAATCTATAAAGCGACCATCTTTGTCTACAATAAGGTGAAGGTGGGATGTATATTGTTCCGTCATGCCAGTATATAGGTAATGTTCCAGTGGAACAGGGCGTTTATCTGTTGCGATGACATGAATCTCACAACCTCGTACACGTCCTAACCAATCAGCTATTTCATAATTATTTGGTACAGTGGCGCTTAACATTACTAGTAGAATATGCTTAGGAAGCATTATCATAATCTGTTCCCATACGTAACCTCTGTCTGGATTATTAATATAATGTACCTAAAGAGAAAAAGGGAAGGAAATAAAAAATTATAACAGTAACAATGATAACAATAAAAATTATAATAATGATAATCAAGCTTATTTATTAATCCAGCAATCGCTGATGAAGTAAACAGATAAACCAGACAAATGTAGAACATAGTTTGTTAGCTAATGAACCATTTCTTCACTGAAGAAAGAGTGAAAATAATCTGCAAAAATTAAATTTCAGAAGTAAAAGAGTCAAATTAGCGTAAAACTTCAAGTAAAAATCTCAACAACAATTAAACAACTACAAGTACGAATATAAACAGAAAGTTTCGACTAGGGACACATATGTCGGTGAACATGTGTTTTATCATAGGTTAAATTATCAAGCTTTGGTTTGATAATTTCGAATAAATTGAGCATTGGGTAATAAGAATATTAATATTCTTATTGTTCCGTTGCACTATTTAAACTTGGGTTAATTTTAATTTAGTTATTTATTCTCTGAAGAAGTGACTTACACTAAGCCACGAAACGTTAGAAAATCTAATTTTTCTACTCATTGGGATAATACAAATATATTATTTATCTGTGTTTTATCAAATCATACTCATCAATGATAGAACTCTGGAAATTTTCTCTTAAATCTAGTCACTAGTGAGCACATGATAACTATCAGTATGGATTTATGGATATTGTTGAATCGCATAGAAGGTAACCGCGCAATAACGTAAATTGATTGATATTAGACTCAGTGGTCTAGCGGTTAGAAGTTTGCACGCGAGATTGAAGGTCCTAGGTTCGAGTCCCTGTTGCAGGGTCGTGGATGTGAACTTCTGAGGAGACCCACACTAGGATGGAACGGCTGTCCGATGCTTCCGAGTTTTCAGTAGTTGTTTAACTTTACTTGGTTTGTGATTTCGATCAATTGCAGTCATCAGTTAGTGCAATAAGATTTATTCTAACGTAAAATAATGCCTTTATAGTAATTTTTAGTCAACAGGACGTAATAAAATAATCATAACCGTGATAATAATTTCAAGAATATGGGCCCATGACGTTTGTGTTAGTTGAAATACTAATATGTTTTGGAAGGTATTTGAGCTAAAACCAAATAAACTTATCACAATTAACTGTATTGTGGTACGAAATGTAGAAAATTTGACAATCATCTACAATAGTCTAGCCCGATTTTTTTCACAGATATGTAATTTAATAAAAGAATATAATTATAACAAAATAGTTTTTATTAAACAACCTTGGTAATTAAATGATAAGCAATAGCTTACCTCGTCCAAGATTACAATTTCAAGATTTTTGATAATCTCAGATGCATTGCACAACATATTATATAATATTTCAGTGGTCATGACAAGTAGTGATGCTTCTTGAGCTAGTTTGATATCACCAGTAATTAGTCCTACATTTTCACCAAATCTTTCCCTAGAGTAGTTGGTAAGTGGTAGACAAAACTGTGCTTAGTATATCCCCATATATATAAACTACGATAAAATACATATAAAACTATTATTTCACTAATTCAACAAAATGACTAACCTAAAATCATGAAATTTTTGATTGGAAAGTGCTTTAACTGGACTTGTATAGATGACACGTGAACCACGACGTAAACAAATAGCGCATGCGTATTCTGCAATCACCGTTTTACCAGACGATGTATGTGCTGAAACAAATACTGTTTTGTTGTTTTCAAGACAAAGAATTGCACGTTTTTGAAATGTGTCAAGCTCGAAATCCCAATGCAATGCTGGATTCTGAATTAATTTTGTTAAGGTCGGGAGTGGTGTTACAGTATCCTCCTATGCAGAGAGTGATAATAATCATAGGAATGAAAATTTACAGATGATATGCATAAATGAACCTGTTAAAAACAATATGTAAATCAAAATAAAAAATGTAGATCAAAATACTGTCGTTTCAAATAAACAAACTCATATTTCCATGCAGTGATTACATTTTGTTTCAACTTCAGTTTCAACTTTATATTGTATAATTAATTGGCGGTTAAAATGTCTCACTATATGAGATAAAAAGAAACGAACGTCTACCACACATATTTAAATCCATGAGGCCATTCATCGGTAAGGCTAAATGATACAATCAGTACTTGGACACGAAATTGACTCCTGATCGTTTTCTAGTTCCTCAGAAATCCCCTACGCTTGAACCTCAAATGAAAGACGAAAGGCAGGAAGTAAGAAAAGATGCTTCACTTCAAAGGTTATTTTGAGTATAGAGAATGAGGATATTTATGGGTGATCTTGATATTCTGTAAGTCGCTGAAAATATGTCAAAATTGGAAACAATATCGCTAGTTGTTTAATCAGAAGAAGACACGAAACCAACCTTTTCTAGAGTTTTCTGGGAAGTCTCTGTCAAACATTGGCTGGCGGACGTATTTTTTCAACCTTCTCACAGTTTCTGGAGGCTTTTACGAGGAAATCTAGTAATAAACATCAATTAATTTGTACGGTGTCATTTTAATCAATTTGCTAATAAAACTGACCAATTCTAGACATCTTTAGTGAACGGATGTCATTCAAGAATTAGTTTTTTTTTCATTAACAGAGTATATAACAGAAGTTGTTTATGTAATATTGGGTAAGGAAGTGTATACATTCTGGGTAATGTTTAAGTGAACGAAAAATAACCAAGTCATGCAAACGAAATTATTTAATCTGCCAGGTGTTTGGTGAACTGATGCGAATACGTAAAATACTTTAAGTACAACATTTTGTCAACGTTCTCAACTGCAAAACGTTAGTAAAGAAAGTTCCACACAAAAATCAAGATGCTTGACTCGTTATCCACCCCACAACAAGCACATCTTGATCACATGATTACAACATGAAGATAACCAATCAATAAGCATTCCAAAACATATTACATTCCAAACGAATTCCAAGCTTTCTGAAATAAAAATGTGTGTGAACCAATATGGAGATAATTAGAATAGGGGTTTATTTAGATTACAAAGACTTATAGTTTACATAACATGATACTAGCTGCATAAATCTTTAGAATTAGGAACCGTGGGGCGGCTGTTTCGTTCTAGAATGGAACTACCCGTCAGGGAGTATTCACGACCCCACCGAGGACTGAACTCAAGACCCCCAGATCTGAAGGCAAACGCCCAACATTGGACTACTGAGTCTGGATTCAGAAAGTATACATCACCGGCTATAATCAAACCTTGATATTACGCGAACACCTTACAATGTCATCGGTGGATAAATGTCAGACCCACAAGGTTGAATTAAACATCTCACTAGAACACGGAGAATAATCTGTCGCAATCAGCCACTAGTGATGAACGAACACTTAATAGTATGAAGGTTTAAGCTGAACACTAAGCCCGTAGGCCCTCAGTTCGATCTAAAGTGAGATGGTGGGTGCCCGCTTCTGAGGAGCCCCGTACCATCATAAAACAGCTGTCCGGTGCTTGATGGTTTCACTGGTTATCTAGCTGAGGTCATTCAGTTATGCAAAAAATGTGAAATAGTTTACACTACAAATTAGCTTTAGCTACATTACTGTTGAACCAATTCTTTCTTCCTGTATTATATCCTTATACACAATCTTTCTTTTATATATTACTACCATTGAAGTAACTACTATGAATTTGGTGTTCATCTTGTTGTGCTAATGAGGTATAGCAACTTGGACCGATGCATATATGTGCCTGGTCTTACGTTGTAGCTGACTGACTGACACTACTGCTGAAAACCAGAAAACACTTGATGGCTAGGACGAAAGAGTTTCTTACTCCGATCTTCAACAGTTGTCTAGCTAAGCCAGTTTATGGTGTTAACTACCATTAAAGTCTTCACAATCCCTCGATCCTAATGAAAAGACAATATACTGGATATGGAGAATAAATTCGTAATTCATTATTGCTTGATATCTGTAGTTTGTAAAGAACCTATGATTGATTAATGAAATGTGTTGAGCCTATAACAAACAAATGATCACCATTGCTGTCCTAAGTATTTCATATACGCTAGGAAAAAAATGGGAATCATGTAACCCGGTGAACTGCTAGAATGAAACAATGGGGAGAGGTAGTTGTATACTTTCACTCTATCTGATGTGTTTGTATACAGAGCTTGCAGTAAGTATGGCGTAACGTCGGAATTTCATAGAGGGTGAAAATTATAACCAATAAATAAACAACCAGGACGAAAGCCGGTCTGCTTCTCGCAAGTCAGCCTTTTATATGTTTCAGTGTGAATTATGACGGAAAACAATAGTTCTGAATCGATTGAAAGTAAACTTATTCTGGATCTTTGTAGAACAGATGACTTAAACCCATTTTAAGGACCAGGACTACTGTCGCTTGATTTTAGGATGTCAGAACACTCTCTACTTCGTAAATCTTTCCAAACAATCTAGTTGGTTCCCTGAACAAGAAGCTCGCCAGAGTGAGTCGTTCGGACCTGGCGATCTGTGACGCCTCGGAAGTTGAGATTCCTCGGGGACCACCTCTCCGTCAGGTGGGTCAGTTTTCACTGGTCATGATGGGCAGGCAAACCTGAAGGACGGCCAAAATGTCGTTCGAAAAAACTCTGCGCACTGTCCAAGGTCTCGTTAAATATTATTTATCGACTCCATAGATTGCTTCACTCACATCAAGCTGCTTCCCCCCCAACGACTCGGATCAATTGAAAGAGCTTTTGACAGATACCAGATGCAGATGCTGCTTCCAAACTAGCTAGCATGCTTCAATTACCAAGTGTTCGGTTCTCACACAACTTCTGTATAACTTCCAAATCTAAGAGTCTGTTTATTGCTAAGCTCGTGATTAGTCACAGTCAACCGTGTCTCCAGAGGTCTGTTGAAACTTAGTGCTAGTCGACGAGCCGTTTCGCGAAGCCACAAGCAACTTGTCATTTTCTTGACGCCAGGCAAATGCAACCGGTCTCCCCATGTATTTCTTCGTGGACTGATATTTAGCCCTGAACCTTGTTCATTTTTATGTTTAGTTGCAATGGAAGCTGCAGTCAATTTTTATTTATCAATTACTTCAGAACAATGAAATGGTTGGCCACTTAAAGTCAAAATAAAGGGGCCAAAGCCAAAGCACGATAAGAGACAAGATACGTATTTGAGAATGAGTGCGTCACATACACATACATATAAGCAGTAGCTGAACGCAATATAAGCAATTGGAATCTACACAAGGATTGCAGAGGGAGTGGAAACATACATCATATCAGACTGTGTCGAAAGTAATGCTGACCCAAAACAGGTTGTCATGGTGGGAGACGGTCATTTTTATTCAACCAGTGACCAACTACTCCTCACCGGCCACCAAAGCGACTCTTCCGTACATAGAGGCCTTATCGGCACATTCAAACCTCTAGATAACACTTGAACATCTGTCAAACGCGATTTCTTATGATCATTTAACTCGTGTTAGAGCTAATCCTCGATTGTATCCGGTCGGCAATTTGTTGGGGCGTAGGCATTGATAACGATATAAAATCGTATTCCATTTTTGACTTCTCGCTCTGACGGAACCTTTTAATCTTGAAACACACTGACTACTGTTAATTGGGGTCCAATCGACTTGTGCTGCCTGGTACTTACTGTGACACGGAAGCCAGACTAACCGAACAGAAATGCCACAGAGTTACCAGACAAATACACGCGGAACAAGCGTCTCGAATCGAGAAATAGGATGTGCAATTCTAGCATTAATGCAGTCTTAAGTATGGGGCTCGGGTGTACAGCAGATGTCCATATCAAGACTTTATAAAGACAACCAAATCTACCGTCTGATCTGTATTAGCGCCAGAACGTTGAAAGAATCCAGTTTGAATGTTAATCATAGCTTCAGAAAGGCTTATTCAGAATTTGTACTTGGTGGTAGCAATTAAACTTTTGACTAGTTTGTAATTTGAGTTCGTTTCAACACGACAAAATTGTTGTCTGCTTGATTGGTTGAATTACTTGTGATCTGAATACAACGCGAATATAAATAATATTGTCATTCCGACTATATTAATGCGCCCACGACTATTGTTGAGGTTAAAGTTGAACAAGTAGTTGAAATCTAGCACTGAAAACCACGTTTTTGACAGACAAACGGGTGCCTCATCTGTGTCAGATGGCTAAAGTTGGTGAAGGAAAAGGAAATTTACGTCTATCCCAAAACGTCCTCAGACGAAAATCTATAGAAATTAGCGATATTTTAAACGCTAATGGGGTAATCAACAAAATTCACAAGATTGTTAGTTACATCACTATCTCCATAAAACGAAACTGTTTCACTAAGATGCATCAATTCTATTACAATATCCAGGTAAAATTAAGAAAGCTATCAATAGGACATTTTTGATAAGCTAGGATAGAAACACGTTAAGTAAAGTTAAGTAAAGTGAACCACTTAACATAGCTAGGTGGACATATGCAAAACAACAAAGGAGCACGGTCGTTGTTTTACACCAAATATTTTGGATGGAGACCCATGTGAGATTGGCCTTAGGAAATTTTTCAGAAACAAAGCGTTTACAAAGCATTAAAAACTTACTATTGTAGCATAGGATTCACGTGGTTTGCAGCTCCTTATTCGTCTTTTAAGGAACGTGATCGTTTCTCTTTTGGGTAGTAAGAAAGTTCCTGCTTCACTTATCTGAGCTGTTAGTCGAAGAAAATATCCCTTAGGAAAACACCAATTCTGAACCACATCCTCAGAAGCCATTTTCAATAATTCATCAATTATACTAGGGACAGTTGGTAAATCACCAGAACAGTCAGGTGATTTACGTATACAACTCAATAGATTAAACTCCATCTTAGTTGAACGGAGAGCCTGTTTACTAATTTCATGGATGGATTTCATAATTGTTGGTTCAACCTACGGAGATCAGGCCTGTTTCCAATAAAACTCACCTTGGTGTTGGCAGTATTTATTCCACAAGATGTAGCCGTAGCACATGACCGTTTAAAATTAACATCAGGATCCACTACTTTCCCCGTCATACCATCCCTATGTATTGGGATATTATGATACGGGATTTGGGTTCGTTGGTGAATTAAATCATGTTTTAGGGAGTCCGGAATTAAGTTCTCATTCTTTGAGAAAGAATGTCCGAGGAAAGCGTGAACTTGTAATATCTGACTCATAGTTCTATATCCTGTTATAGCTGTTAAGCGACTGCAACTTAGGCCTGTAACCAAAGTAGAGAAACACCAAAACAACAACAATTGAGACTGGAATTCCATTTTTCTTTCGGGAGTAAACAAAAGACAACTTCGGGGGTATTTGTAAATCACATCTCACAACTATGGGTCGCATGATGGGCTTACGTGAATTACGCAGTGCCCATAAAATTCCACTTACCTTTCCAAAATCTACCTTGAGTATCCTATAAACGGGACGGTAAAAACGTTAGATCCCTTTAAATACGTCGCCGTTTCGTTTCAGAGACCTTGAAGGGCCTAACAGGGGGCGGTTATTCCGTACTTCGGGGACGATTAGGACGTTGAGCCATGGGTTTTCGCGCGCATGTTGCATGGTGTCGAGGGTCCTGGATGTCGTTATTTATTAGTTATTAACAGCAATTTTTCCGTCACACGCCAATTTACGTAGTTCGAGTGGTTCAAATGGTTGTGGACGGAATAGAAGAAGCTTTCGCTTAACAGGCTTCCGTGTCCAGTAGCAGGGGATCACCAAATCCTCCAGACAGGAACCTAGGTATGTTAATGATAAAACATGAAAAGAAATTAATAAATCATAGTGCGATACTATCCTTAGTCCTTAAGAATAGATCAAGTTGCCTCTTAAAGGACTCCTGGGAAGTCGATTGGACTAGCTCTGCCGGCAGCGAATTCCAGCATTTGACAACTCTTAAGGAGTAGAAGTTGTGTCTACAGTCCTTTCTGCTATGTGGTGTCTCCAGTTTCTGAGTGTTACCTCTTAGGTCAGTGTTAGAACTAAGCTTAAGTAGGTGTTTGAGAGGATATCCAGAAGTGTTAAGGATGCTATAAGCCATCAGAAGGTCACCTCTAAGACGTCTATACTCTAATGGGTAAAGGTTAAGTGAATGGAGGCGCTTTTCGAACTGATTTCGTGGCTCGCCGTTGGGTACGTTACAGGGTATCCTTATCCTTTTGGAGTGAGGGGGGAAATACTATGTTTCCGTACTCTAAATGAGGACGGATAAAACTATTGAAGATTGTATGGAAAGTTCTTCCGTCAAACTGGCCAAAAATGCGCTTCAATGGTACCAGTGCAAGGTTTTCTCCGAAGGCATTTTTGTCACACTTAGCGTAAGACTTTAAATCGTAGGGCACCAAGACTCCTAAATCTTTTTCGACTTGGGATACTACTAGAGAGGAGTTACCGAAGTTATAACTGTAGTCTGCGACATGTCGCAGATGGACTACTTTACACTTTGAAGTGTTAAATGTAAGTCCGTTATCGTCTGCCCAACTTTGAAGTCGAGTCAGATCCTCGTGTTTGTGCTCGTTACATAGCTTTTATTCCAGTTTATTAGTAGTTTGACGTATTTGTTGCTCACAACGTGGGTGAATGTTTAGTCAGCGTAATGTGGTTATTTGTAACAATGCAAACTCAAACAAGAGAAAGTCACCATTTATCAAGTCAAAAATAAACTAAAATCAGAGTTTTATGCAAAAATGAGCTCTAAAACCTCTTACACTTGATTCACCTCCCTAATTATGGTGGTGATGAACATGGATGTTGGTGGTTGTTTATACAATGTAGGTAGAAGCAATTAAACGTTAAACTATCTATGAATATTATATGAGTTGCTAACATACAGCCATAAACAGTTCTATTTATCATAAGTATTACCGTTTTCGGCTGAACTGACATATTATTATGTAACGTATCTGAGATCATTTATATGAGTAAAACATGACGTTGATAGTCTTTTCTGAACATATATAGGAACTGCGTGTAACATTACTGTAAGAGACACACTGATTAGTCGCATACTCTTCATAATTAAAGGGATGCGTTTTTGTTTTGAGCATGGTAACTGAACCATGTCGTAGGTAATACTAATTTATGATGTGTCTGTTATGGGGTTTACGAATGAATTTCTGTAAACAGAATCCGCAATCACTAACCAAATTATGAACAAAATTCTGATGCATATTGACGAGTAATATCAAATAGTGCTTACTAATGATTTCATTATTGCATGTAAACAATGAATTGTTAATACTATTATTAATTCTGTATTTGGATTTTTCTAATTTACTATTATGAATTGAATTTTTTGAATCCGTCTATTTAGTGTCTTCAGTTTCTTTGTTAATACCAAATGACTAGGTTAAACTCTAGGAGGGTTAGAAAATGAAGAACACTTTACAAACAAGACACTTATTAGCACATTCTGTTAGCTGGTATTTCATTTACTTATTGAGTTTGATACTGATAACTTAGTTTAATTGTTTATTTCACGATTGATTTGTTGTTTTTCAGAAATGTACTATCTGAGAAGGTCCTCATACCTTTTCTGATATGCAACTTACGGCTTCTGTCAATTAATGTAAAGGCTCGAACCTTTTTAATGACCAAGTCTATGCTGATGAACAGCTTGGGGAATTTCTGAGTATGGAAGATTATGTGAAGAAACAATTTACAAGTTGACGATAACTGTGTTTTATATTAACTACTGCCACGTTTATTTATCTAATGAATTAATCAAATAGAAATATAACTATACAGTCTTTTGCATTATAAATCTTGTAAGTATGTATAATTATAGTCCACTTCGGCAATAATGCTACTTCGATAATGGACTTAATCCGAAAACGGTAAATTTGTCATGTGGTTGTTTAATCTGTAAGATCTTACGTGGTAGCCGCATCACTGTATACACTGACTCATAGTATCGTGATAATTAACAATGATATTTGGTACTTCTAAAGAACACATTTGTGCTGAGGATAGAATAATATATTTAATGTGAATAGTAGTACGCCACATATAATGAACACGTCTGCAAGACTGAGCCATACCATCCGATTGAATGAATGTCTCCACGCCCACCACAGCCGACCTTCTCTAAGTCTCCCATGTCGAACATGACGAACCCATACAGACAAGCCCGATCAATTACGCAAATAAACTGTATAGTTCATTATATTCTTAGACATTTCAGTCGATGACAAAATAGATAACACTCGCACCTTTCATAGTAACAACGATTTCACCACTCAGACGAAGCTGACAATATCAACAGGTTGAGCGGAGCCTATTTTTACTTAAGAATCATCAATAAGTAGGTAAGACTAAGGTTTCTCCAGCGCTTGTATTTGTGTAGGGGTTACTGGTCAAATTGTTGTCAAACCAGAAATACTTGCGGCTTTTTCATTGGTGAGCCGACGTGAGGTAGTACACCGACTTGTCTGTTCAGTTCAAAAAGGTAATACTTATGATAAATAGAACTGTTTATGGCTGTATGTTAGCAACTCATATAATATTCATAGATAGTTTAACGTTTAATTGCTTCTACCTACATTGTATAAACAACCACCAACATCCATGTTCATCACCACCATAATTAGGGAGGTGAATCAAGTGTAAGAGGTTTTAGAGCTCATTTTTGCATAAAACTCTGATTTTAGTTTATTTTTGACTTGATAAATGGTGACTTTCTCTTGTTTGAGTTTGCATTGTTACAAATAACCACATTACGCTGACTAAACATTCACCCACGTTGTGAGCAACAAATACGTCAAACTACTAATAAACTGGAATAAAAGCTATGTAACGAGCACAAACACGAGGATCTGACTCGACTTCAAAGTTGGGCAGACGATAACGGACTTACATTTAACACTTCAAAGTGTAAAGTAGTCCATCTGCGACATGTCGCAGACTACAGTTATAACTTCGGTAACTCCTCTCTAGTAGTATCCCAAGTCGAAAAAGATTTAGGAGTCTTGGTGCCCTACGATTTAAAGTCTTACGCTAAGTGTGACAAAAATGCCTTCGGAGAAAACCTTGCACTGGTACCATTGAAGCGCATTTTTGGCCAGTTTGACGGAAGAACTTTCCATACAATCTTCAATAGTTTTATCCGTCCTCATTTAGAGTACGGAAACATAGTATTTCCCCCCTCACTCCAAAAGGATAAGGATACCCTGTAACGTACCCAACGGCGAGCCACGAAATCAGTTCGAAAAGCGCCTCCATTCACTTAACCTTTACCCATTAGAGTATAGACGTCTTAGAGGTGACCTTCTGATGGCTTATAGCATCCTTAACACTTCTGGATATCCTCTCAAACACCTACTTAAGCTTAGTTCTAACACTGACCTAAGAGGTAACACTCAGAAACTGGAGACACCACATAGCAGAAAGGACTGTAGACACAACTTCTACTCCTTAAGAGTTGTCAAATGCTGGAATTCGCTGCCGGCAGAGCTAGTCCAAGCGACTTTTTTAAATGGACAGTGTTATTGTTTCTCGTCGAGTTAATTAACTGTTTTGATCGTAAATTGCGCATCTGAACTACTGTTTACACTTTATTGCATGTACCCCATTTAAAGTGATGTTGTATTGAGTGTTTCGATTTTGCTTTTGTGTATTTATTGCATCGAAGCTTACTTGGTCGACTTTTACTTGATTTATTTAGTTAACATTTGATAATCCTCTTACTTATCCCGTTTTTGTCACCGTTCTAGTTGATTTTCAAGCTGGGTCTGTCTGCTCATAAATGTGGACAACCATATTGCTTATTTCCCGTGGATGAAGGGATACAATGTGATGAGTGTAATAAATGGTTCCATAAGATGTGCACCCGATTAAGCCCCACTGCATATAAAATGTGCTCAAAGCCCAACTCTCATTGGCTTTGTAGTTTTTGTTGCCCGAGCAAAATATTGCTTCTCCAGGATGCAATTAGTCTCCTGGTGTTGGCTAATAAGAAGGTTGATGGGGGCTGTACTGGCAACATTGGTACTGATGGCGATGATTGCGTTAGTGTCGTGAGTGCTGTCACGGCGCAAGCCAGACATCTAACTGTGCAACCCGCTATTAAACCGTCTACCCTGAAACAATCAATGAGTGACACCTCATTAGATATTGGTGGCCATGTTGCTACAGCAGCAACCGGTGACCCAGATAAAACAGTTACTATCCCGAGTGGTTCTAATGTGGATGCTACGACTGATGGAATATGGATGACACGGAAACGCAGAAGAATAGGAAAGACAGCTAAAACTAATGACCGTTTACTTAATAAGTTCTTGGTAGACTCTCAGACCACTCCACCAAAGTCACATAGTAAAGCTTCGTCTAACATTGTTGTGAGTCATTCGCTCGACTCCCAGGACTCTGTTACAATAAAAACTAATCGTAAGATACCAGTAGTTAAAATACAGGATCTAACGTCACGGTCGAAAGCTGTGAACACAGTTTCAAAAGAAGCTAAACCCCTCCCTAGTTTAATTATTTGGAATCTAGAGGAGTC